TGCAGTGGCCCCAGTACATGTCTACCATCGCACCCTAGGACCTCCCAGGAGCCCTTGAGCTCCACACTGCCAGAAAGTTCCCGAAGAGACATCACAGCCTCTGCACCAAGAAAAACCCGGACTCGGCACAAGGTTCCTGCAGCTCACACCCGGGAGCCGAGTCCAGCTCAGCCTAGACTGCCCACAACCGCCTCCTTCCTTCCTTCTTTCCTTCCTTCCTTCCTTCCTTCCTTCCTTCCTTCCTTCCTCCCTCCCTCCCTCCCTCCCTTCCTTCCTTCCTTCCTTTGACAGGCAGAGTTAGACAGTGAGAGAGACAGAGAGAAAGGTCTTCCTTCTGTTGGTTCACCCCCCAAATGGCCACCACGGCTGGCGCACTGCACCAATCCGAAGCCAGGAGCCAGGTGCTTCTCCTGGTCTCCCATGGGGTGCAGGGCCCAAGCACCTGGGCCATCCTCCACTGCACTCCCTGGCCACAGCAGAGAGCTGGCCTGGAAGAGCAACCAGGACAGAATCTGGTGCCCCAACCGGGACTAGAACCTGGGATGCCGACGCCGCAGGCGGAGGATTAGCCTAGTGAGCCGCGGCACCGGCTAACCACCTCCTTTCGAGGACAAGCCCCATCAGGTTTTGCTGGAACCTACGACTGCCACCTGTCTCCTCCCTGAAACAAGCTGCAAGTTCCTCTCCCTGTATGCCATGGACGCCGTGGACGCTGCGTGTCCCTGTCCCTACTCCCCACAAGCTGTGGGCACTGTGAGCTCCTCTCCCCGCACGCCGTGGACGCTGCGTGTCCCTGTCCCCGCACACCGTGGACGCTGCCTGTCCCTGTCCCCACACACCGTGGACGCTGCCTGTCCCTGTCCCCGCACACCGTGGACCCTGCCTGTCCCTGTCCCCGCACACCGTGGACGCTGCCTGTCCCTGTCCCCGCTCCCCGCACGCCAACCTCCTGACCCACGGCGCAGACCCTGCCTTCCCCTCCCGCGCTAGGAGCCTCACTCCTTGCACATCTCCCCGGCACACTGCCGCCCCGCCGTGCCCTCCAGTAGCCCCCAGTTGTCTCGCGGTCAGGAGCAGGCCCCCGAGGCCACGCCGCAGCCGCTGAGCGGCGCCCGCGCTCACCGAGGTGGTAGTAGGTGAAGCACATCGTCATGAGGTTCTTGGCCGGCCCGAAGTCGTCCATCTGATGGCACCTGAAACGAGAGGCCAGGCTGACCGGCGAGAGCCCCGAACCACCCGAGGCCTCACCGGCACCCAGTAACAAGACGAACCTACCGCACGGTCGTGCCTCCGCAACGCCTCCCTCCCGTGACGCTGCTGCAGCAGAAGCAACGAGACCATCCCCTCGATGCCCCCAGGAAGTCACCCACGGGCCCATGGCCTGGGGCCTGGCCTGATTCCGGCAGTAACGAGTGCAGGGCCGGCAGCCTGGCTGTTCCACTTTAAAGGCAAATGCCGCCACCCAAGAAGCTCAGCTCAGCTCAGCACACAGGAGCCAGGACAGAAGTCGGGCCTGGAGTCTCCGTTCACACCACGGGACCCAGGCCGCATGGCCCTCGCGCTCTCCGAGGCCACTTTAAAAGGCTGTGGAGGAAGGGGCGTTTGGTGCGGCTGTGCAGACTTGGGAGCTCACGTGACAGATGCAGGTGCCAGGGACGGAGCCCCAGCTCTGCCCTCACCCAGCTGCCCATTCAGGTGCACCCGGAGGCAGCAGTCGTGGCTCGGGCAGACGGGGCCCTGCCGCTCCTGTGGGAAACCAGGACTGACTTTGGCTCCTGCCTTCAGCCCCAGCTGTTGCAGGCATCTGGGGAATGGACCAGTGGATGGGACATCTCTGCCTACCTGTCTGGCTGTCTCTGTCTCTACTGTTTAAATACATTAAAATAACCAAAAGTTCTTTAAGTGTGAGGAAAAAGGAAATTAATAATTAAGCTTATTTTGGTGTAAAAACCGCTTGAAACCCACGAATAATTTTCTCATAATAGACATTTTCCACGAGCTTCGTGAGGACTCCTGGTACGGCTCACAAACTCGCAGTCAGTGTGTGGTGCCCACAGTCGGCACGCCCGACGCCCGCCGCCCGCCGCCCGACGCCCTGGGGCAGTTACTTCAGTGTAGGTGCTGCCGCCCGAGCACCGGGGGGCGGGGTAAGAGGGGAGCACGCGGCAGCCTCCCCCTGCACTTCCGCTTCGCGGCCTTCCCAGCCAGGTCCCCTGTCCGCTTCTCCTGGCCGTTTGGTCTTCCCCTTGGGCCACTATGTCCTACAGAGCCAGCAGAAAGGACCTGGCAGTGGATTGAGGAGCATTTTCTAATCTTTTGTTTTAATATACTTTGGAAAATCGAGTCAACATGAAGGACTATTCATAAAACTACACCAGATTAAATGAAAGTAAAAGTTAAAGACACTAATAAATTAAAATTATAAAAGCCACGAACATCAGAAACTAACGTACGAATGGGCATTTTCAGCCCTGGCTGACACCGGCATGGGGGAGTGGTCTGTGAACGGCAGATCTCTCTGTCCCTCATTATTTTCAAATAAAATGAAAATAAATAAATGGATAAAATTTAAAAATTTTCTTTTTTGCCTTGCTTCTACAACCAAATAAAAATATATGTGCTCAGGGCACAGGGTGGGAAGATTCGTACATATTTGGCAGGGCTGGAACCTGAATTTAATTTCCCCCCCTTTTATTTGTTTGAGGAAGAATTCAAATAAAAATTGAGACTGAGTTATGTTAGAGACAGACGAGTGCAAATACGCAGAGGAAGGTCCCAGGAGCCTCCTATGGCCTCCAGCGTCTGGAAACCGGTGCTGACGGCAGGAAAGGATACTGGTAAGACAACGTGAGGGGCAGCCGGGAGCTCCCCCGGCACAGGGCCCCAGAGGGCTCGGGCACACGGGCTGCGTGTCGCCTCTCTCCCTCACCCGCTCTGCAAGCCGGGCCCTGCGGGAAGCATATCCCAGACCTGCGGTGTCCTCACCAGGCGCAGGAGATACAGGGTTCCTCCTCTTTACAGCCTTTTCCCCCCAGACTACACCTCACGTCCAGGGCAAGGAGGCAGGCGGATCACGGGGAAGCAGGGGAATGTGGGCTCAGGAGAGAGCTCCGTTCTGCTGAGCAGGGGCAGGAGAAGCCAAGGAGGGAAATTTACAGGCCTGGAGGATAGAATGGGCACAAGGGTGGCCGTGGGATCAGCCAAGGGGCCAGAGGGCGCACAGGGCCCGGCAGAGCCGCAGAGCGGCGCCCACAGTGGTGGCCGTGGGATCAGCCAAGGGGCCAGAGGGCGCACAGGGCCCGGGCAGAGCCGCAGAGCGGCGCCCACAGTGGTGGCCGTGGGATCAGCCAAGGGGCCAGAGGGCACACAGGGCCTGGCAGAGGCGCAGAGCGGTGCCCCGCCCCCAGTACCCCTCCTCTCCACCCGGCCATGGATGTGGCTCTTGGTCACTCCCGCCAGGGCTTGATGCCTGGCTCCCCCTCCGTTCACCGTCTGCAGGGCCTGTCGCCTGCTCTGCCTGCAGCCCACAGGTGTGGTGCAGCTGACAGCTTAGTGAGTCAGGGGAAGGAGGGGCCTTCATCTGACAGCCCAGCCCGCAGCCTCCCCACCGCCCAGCGGGACGGGCTCCAGCAGGGCCTAATTAGCACTCCCAGGCAGGGTGCACTCCTCCAATCCCATCACGGCAGTGTGCTCGTGGGCCGGCGGCCGCTGGTTTGAAGTGCTCTGCAATAAGAAGCCAAGAGGCCCCGCAGAGGGAGGGAAGCTGCCGGGCGGGGTCCCAGGAGCCCTGACTCACACCCAGCTGCCGCTTCTCTCTAATTTCTCCTCCCGGCCAGCACCACTAACTCGCGGTTTCTCCCGGCTGATGCTGGGCGCGTCAGGGGAGCGGCTGCAAGCTGATGATGCGGTGTGTGTTACCCAGCACGGGGTTACCACAGGGCAGGAAGGGAGGGAAGGACCGGGGAGGACAGGCTGTGAGTGACCGCACCACTTACTCGAACAGCACCACGGCGAAAGACTGCACGAGGCGGTAGAAGGTGGGCTCCGAGACACACTTGGAGTTGCAGCGCTGTCCGGAAAGAGGCAGACACGGCGTTGGGGGGTGGCTTGGGGGCGCGAGGGGCTTCCTGCTCTGCCTGTTTCCAGACAGAGCTACGAGGGGCCCAGGGCGGCTCCCTCCCTCCTCCAGGGCCCCCCAGGGTGGGGTCTCTGTGGGGTCCTGTGCCTGGCAGAGCGCAGGCACCTGCTCCTCCATGCCCTCCCTCAGACACTGCCACCCACGCATGGAAACGCGCGTGGACACGGCCCCAAGGACAATGCCCGCTCTCTCTGGGTTGCGGATGGGTGGCTAAGCAGCTTAATCAGAACTTGCTAATTCTTCGATGAAGAATAAATTACTCGTGATAAAAATACCCAAAACCGAAGAGCGTAAGCCACTCTCTGGGGGCAGACAGAACCTGTGGGGTACGGACAGCATTTAGGTCTTTGCTGAGCCTGGTGAGTACATTTCGCTTGTCTGGCTTTCATCGTCTGGGATGTATCACCTTTTACAGACTGGATGCTGCAGGTTGTCATAAAAACACACACGCATGAAGCCCAGGCGTGTACTGGCCTCTGGAATAACACGAGGCACCACACCAGGTCCCCTCGTTGCCCCACGCTGGGGCATCTGGGGTGAGCCCACCTGGCCCGCTGCATGGCCCACTGCTGGGGTCAGGCCCTCACAACACCGTGGGGCGAACCGTGCCGCTGTTCTGCGCGCCATCTCCCTCGACTGCCTCCCCAGGGTGACTGCGGGGTGGATTCAGGATGTGGGAGTCTGGCCCTACCGCGGATGCTGCCTACGGGGGAGCAGGCCGCTGGCCCTCACCTGGGCGCTCACGTATCGAGCAAACCACTCCCGCCCTTGGCCACTGTCACCGCTGCAGTACTCTCCAAACTTGGCCTTCTCCTCCTGGTCCAAGTCCTCCCTGACAAAAGAGGAGAGGACAAAGATGAGCAAAAGAGCTTTTGACTGTCAGGGACACCAAAGGTGGCTGTGGGGGAAGAGCAAAGAGAAGGAAACAACGCACGTGGCACCCGGCCACGAACGGACGCACGAAGGCCAGCTCGGCCCTGGGCAGCCCCCGGGCGAAGCGGCGTCATCCTGCTTTCCAAGATGAGGGGCCTGGGGTGGGGACGGCGGCGCGGAGCTGAGCTGCTGCTCGGGGCGCTGGCCTCTCAGCCGAGCGCCTGGTACTGCGCCCCCAGCTCTGCTTCTGACCCGGCTTCCTGCTCACACGCATCCTGCTGATGGCCCAGGGGTTGTGTTCCTGCCACCCACAAGGGAACCCGCACGGAGCTCCTGGCGACTGGCTTCAGGCTGACCAGCCCCAGCTGTTACCCTCTCCCCTCCCCCCAAAAAAAAGAAAATGAAAAGAAAGATGAGGAGTCAAGTTCAGACGACCAGAGAGGGCACGAGGGTGATGATGCAAGTCCCCCCAGGCTTCCTGGACCAAAGCCTGTCCTGCCCCCCTTAGTGAGGTCGGAGCTGCGGCAGGGCAGGGACCCTACAAGGCCCTGGTTCTCCAGGTCCTCTGACCCCTACTCCTCTGGATGGTGATGTCCACGTGGAATCCCCTCTGCCACAGCAGGGCACAGGAAGCCAAGAAACGCCACAGGCCTGAGGCCAGCTCCAATCCAGCAGCGGGCCTGGCCATCAACTCGTGTGCCTATCAGAAAGTGAACTGGCTCACAACACTGACCATGTCCCCTTGTGTGGGTGAGGGACAGAGACCAGGGGACCCTCAGCCACAGGGTCACCACCTCCAGGGTGGACACGAAGCTTACATGATCTCAGATCACTTCTGATCTCTGTTGCGAGAGACCACTGTTCTTTCCTGAGTTCAAAGACAAAAGTGAAGCAGAAGGCTGCAGCTCAGTTGGCTTATGCAATTTTCATTTATTTGAGATTTTGTAGAAAACATCTTGGTCTCATTTATTCCAAAGTACCAACACCAGATGAAACAGGCTCCACTGCCAGCCATCTGCAGTGTTTCTGGAATGTTCTTCAAGACGCGTCGACTCAGCTGTCCACGCTCCACACTGCTGACGGCCTGTTGCAAATACAGACGGGCCCTCCCAGCTATCAGCAAACCTCTGGGCTTTTCCCCTTTTCATTAACCATGGAGTGACTGGAGAAAGCGACTGATCTTGGTGTTGGTCAAACAACCGAAGTAGGGCGCCATGCCCACTTCCTCCCAAAATGCATTCAAAGGCAGAGACGCATTATTGGGGAGTCACATATTTGGATGATTGCCCAACCATTCTGGAAACCTGAGGCTGGACTCACATCCAGTGACCTGTACAACCCTGCACGCAGTGAGGTGGGGAGACAGCCCGACGGCGGCCCTTCGCTGACCCACGAGGACACGGAGCCTGGGCCCCCCAGGTGGCCCCTGTGAGAAGCAGAGCCCGATGCGGGAGGGCCCGGCGCTGTGCCGTCTCCCGCCCGATGCGGGAGGGCCTGGCGCTGTGTTAGACTCCCGCCCGACTCAGGAGGGCCCGGCGCTGTGCTGTCTCCTGCCCGATGCGGGAGGGCTGGGCACTGTGCCGTCTCCCGCCCGACGCGGGAGGGCCCGGCGCTGTGTTAGACTCCCGCCCGACACAGGAGGGCCCGGCGCTGTGCCGTCTCCCGCCCGACGCAGGAGGGAGGGCCCGGCGCTGTGCCATCTCCGGCCCGACGCAGGAGGGCTGGGCGCTGTGCCGTCTCCCGCCCGATGCGGGAGGGCCCGGTGCTGTACCGTCTCCCACCTGATGCAGGAGGGCCTGGCGCTGTGTTAGACTCCCGCCCGACACAGGAGGGAGGGCCCGGCGCTGTGCCGTCTCCTGCCCGATGCGGGAGGGCCCGGCGCTGTGCAGTCTCCCGCCCGATGCGGGAGGGCCTGGTGCTGTGTGACTGACTCCCGCCCGACGCGGGAGGGCCCGGCGCTGTGCCGTCTCCCGCCCGCGGCCACTTACCCTCCAGAGAAGATCTTCTCCACGTAGCTGCGCATGAACTCCCTGAGCGCCAGGCTCTCCTCGTCCTGCGCCGACTCGGTGCTCTGGCCGGAGGAGAAGGACTCGTTGGAGGAGGAGCGGCGGTCGTGGTCCCAGGACGGGTGTGAGGGTGACTCGCCCACGTCGTTCTCGCTGTCTGCCGACTCGGTGGTCTCACTCTCGGACGCGCCGTCGCCCAGGGAGCCGTCCCCATCCCGGTCCTGATGCGCTGGAGCCGGCGCCTCCAGGGAACAGGAGGTGGGTGCTTCAGTCCCGAAGTCAATCAGGGCACCCACGGGGACCTCCGCAGCCTCCATGGCTCGGGGCTGGGCTGCGGCTGGCACGGGGGAGGCCTCCCCAGGCGTGGCAGTGGAGCCCACCAGCGCACACGAGTCACCTGGGAGCTGCTGGCTTCCGAGGTGAGTCTCTGGGGCAGCTCTCGGGGCTCTAAGGCATCTGGGACGGAAACACAGACAGCCAGGATCACCACGGGAGACTCAGCCGGTGGGGAAATTCAGCCACCAGAACTCAGGCCTCAGGGAGCCACTCAGGCGACACATCCCCCACAACGCCAGTTTGGGAAGCCTCTGCACCAACATTTTCCTGCGGCTCAGTTTGCTGTTAAACACCTGCTACATGGGAGACAGCTGCTGAGGGTCCCCCCAGAAGACCACGCATTGAAGGTTTGGGCCCCAGGGGCGCTCTACTGGGAGGTGGGCGACAGGGAGGTCCTTAGGTCACCTCGGAAGGCAGCTCAGCTGCGCTCGGGCCCAGCCTCTCTCTGCTTCCCGGCTCGCCAGGAGATCCCCTCTCCAACCCACGTTCCCACCCTCGCCGTCTGCCACTCACTGGGCTCATCCCATCATGGGCGTGAACCTCCAAACCATGTGCTAAACAGAGCAGCTCTCCCCACAAGGTGAGCTGCCTCAGGCATTCGGTCATAGTAAAGAAAGGCTGATGAACAGAGCACTCAATTTATTACATATACGAACAAATACATAAGCGGGATTTCTCCAAGCTCCACCAGCAGACTCTCAAGGCAACACATCTGCTGGCCGCCTCCCAGCTCAGCTCTCAGCCTGAGCCTTGCCCACAGATAAGCAGGTCCCTCGTCGTGGACGGGACACAGAAAACGGCCACAGAGGATCCACCTGTGCACTCACTATCTGTGGGCTCCTCGGCCACGGAAGCTCTGCCCGGCTAAGCGGTTGGCACCTTCGGTCCTTCCACTCGAGACCCAGGCCCTCCCGGCTGCTGGGCGACCCTCTCAGCACGCTTCTCAGTACTGTGGGGGCTCCTGAGCACGATGTTCACCACCTGGCCCTGCCCTCTCCCTGCCCCGCAGCCGCCCGAACAAGGACATCCGCCCTCTGGCGCCTGTGCCTTCCGCTTCCTGGGCTGGGCGCCCCCCTTCCTTCTTCTTCCTCCCCGTTCGCCCCTGGGACTCCATTCAGCCTGAGGTCAGCATTCACTCCTCTGTGCCCCCACCCCCAGGCAGATGCGCGTGGACGGATGTCAGTCTGTCTGTCCACGAGAGCACACGGCTCGTGAGGGGCCATGCGGCAGCACCTGGTGCCCAGCCGAAGCCCTGAACACTTGCTGACGGAGGCACAGACGCGGCTGTGCCCGTGTTTAAAGGTTCACGGGGAAGGTGGAGCTGAGATTAGAACTTGCTGGGTTCCCAGCGCTCGTTCAGGAGCCGCGTCTGTTCTGGAAGCTTCCTTGCCAGCACCAGGCGGCAGAGAGCCAAGCAGGGGGTGAAAGCCACCTTCTGCCCAGCCCCCGAGAGGAGGGCACACGCTCAGCTCAGCTGTTCTCTATCAGACCCAAAGCCCAGGGCGACCCTGCCAGGGTGGGGTGGCGTCAGCTGTTCTCTATCAGACCCAAAGCCCAGGGCGACCCTGCCAGGGTGGGGTGGCGTCAGCTGTTCTCTATCAGACCCAAAGCCCAGGGCGACCCTGCCAGGGTGGGGTGGCGTGATGCGCTGAGCTGGGTGCACCTTCCGCGGACATTTAACTAACGGAGCAGCACCTGCTGCCTCCCACGAGCCTGTTATTCACAAACCAGTGACGGGCCCTCCAGAGTCCCCAGCCTGCGTTCATTCTAAGTACCCTGAGCTGGGAAAAGGGGTTTGCTGCCTCCTGGTCATCGGGGTGGCCATGCACAGGGCCAGTAAGCCCCACAGACCCTGCTTCAGTCCAGAAGAGAAAAGAGAAGCCACGGCTCCCAGGAGCTTCTGTGAGATTGCAACTAAGACCCCTAGGTCCTGGGGCCACCTCGTGCCACGTCAGACTCTCCTCCAAAGAGAAACCACACATGCAGTGACACGTCTGACAACGAAAGTGCAAAACCACTTACACCAGAAGCATGTCTACATGCTGAACTCTTCATGTGACAGAGTTAATCATATGTGTTTTAAGTCAATTGGGAAAAGATCCCAGTTAAAGTAAGAGGGGGAATAAGGGAGGGAGGGGGTTGTCTAAACCGTAAAGCTGTGCGGTTCTGCACGCAGCCCTACAGACCTCTCAGGGCACAGCCTAACAACGTGCACTGGGACTCCACACCCATGAAAACTGGTGGCATAAAGGCCGTCTTCACTGTGAGAATGATCATACTAAATGTCAAAGTCAACATATAGATGGGCTTAAGTGTAAAAGTGATCATATAAACAGCATCAAGTGCCTGGTAATAATAATAGAATTAAAAAGGAAGGAAAGTCCAATATGGGAATCAGTGCACAGAGCAGCTCCTAGAATGACATTCACTGTAAGTAACACTCTGACCTCAGAATCAGCCCTTAAGGCTTCCTGGTCTGGCTGAAAGGCCTGTGAGAGCATTCCAGGCATGGAAAGCCGAGACTCTGTGGCAAAAAAATATCCTACACGGAAGATCTCTGTGAGACCTCAGTGGAAAGAAAGGGTCATCAAAGAGAGATGTACTCTTCCCCGAAGGGAGGAGAGAACATCCACTTTGCTCATGGCCGTGTCCAAATCCCGACGGAGTCTGTGGTCACAAAAGGCTTCCACAGGGCAGCCCATGGCAGGAGCCTCGGGTGATCACTGACATCTTGAATGAGAGCGTCAAGTTAAAGGAACAGAAGTCACCGCACCACTCCCCGTGTAGCACCTCCGTCCTCACTGAGTTGTGCTATGAGAATCGACTGCTCTGGCCTTTGCAACCGTTTGGGGATGGATCAGTGGATGGAAGATTCTCATTCTCTCTCTCTCTCTCGCTCGCTCTCTCTGCCTCTTCCTCTCTATAACTCTGCCTTTCAAATAAATGAATCTTTTAAAAAACAGCAATTTCTTTAATTCTTATTTTCCTCTTCTCTGACTTAGGCATTCAAACATGTAGGATTTATCCTAAAAACAAATCTATCCTAAAAACAAGTTCAAAACATTAAAAAACACTTACATGGAGAAAAATGCTCACAAAGACAGTGTTTAAAATCCCGGTAACCTAAGGGGAGAGATCCAGAATGCAGTGTCACAACCTGAGGCACTGGTAACCAGGGTAGGATGCAGGCAGGCGAGGGCTCAGCACGCAGAGCACCCTGAGGCCACGGCGCTCCCTGCCCGCCGCTGCCCCTCCCCTCCCCTCCCAGGACCGGAAGCCAAGGCACGCAGCTCACTTGGGTAAGTGCTGCCCAAGCGGGCACTGCTCCGTTGACTCTGAGGACGATCAAGGGGAGGCGTGACAAAGGACGGGAAACAGGGAGGACGGCAATGAGGGGTCACCCTCCCCTCTTGCTCATTCTCACAGCAGCACAGCTGGCAGACAGTGGGATTCAGGGGAGACTGCGTGCGAGACCGCTCTCGGAGCCCGGGGCCGTGTCTCTCCCCAGGCGTGGGCACGCAGGGTTAAGCCGAACGCTCACGGCTGTTTCTGACCCGGGCTGACGTGCTCTGAGGCTGGTGCCACGCTCTCATGGCCCATCCAGCTTGGAGAGTCTACTTGAGCCTGAGTCACGCTTTTAGTCCCGAGCGTGTCCTCTGTGGACTTGGCAAGGGGGCGGCACAAAGTGAGAGGAGACAGAGTGGCAGGAGGGGCCGTGCTCTGGGCCACCTGCCTGCCCCTGCCTGGGACCCCTCAGCGGGATCTCTCCTCTCTCTCGGGACAGGGAGACGGCTCACTTGCTCGTGGAGCTAGGACATCGTGGCGCAGTGCCCTGTGTGGAAAGGCCCTGAGAAGGAACCCTCCAGGCAGAACAGGGTGACAGTGACTCCCCCACTCCCGGATCAAAGCTCAGGGGACTTCCTGGCCCAGCTGGAGAACACGGAGGAGGTGGCCCCTGGGAGGTGGCCCGCACTGTCCTCGCTCAGAGCCAGGCCCAGGGGTTCCAGAGAGTCTAGAGTTTTCCAAGGAATGCTGAAATCTGCTGTACGAAATCTTTCGGTTTTTCTAGACTAGCAACTAACTTAAATTTATTTTAAAACATTTTGGGCATCAGAAAACCACATCTGAGGATTGTACCCCAATCCATTCGAACATTCTACATACAAGGCGGCTCCAGGACCGTCCGCAGGTCCCCAGACTCAAAAATCCCAGGAATTTCCAGTAGGAGGCTTGTCAGCCACGGGAGTGCGGATCCTAAACCCACCACCTACAGACGGGAAGCAGCACAAGCCCCCTTGTGGCTCTGAGTGGCAGTTCACGTCCTACATCAATGCAGAATCCCTGCCAAGTTAACCTGTAACTGTCACTGCGCGCCTGCTATGAACCAGCCACTCTGCAGGAGCCCAGATACTGCAGCATGAGCATCTGGTCGTGTGTGTGTGTGTGTGTGTGTGTGTGTGTGACAGAGAGAGAGAGAGACGGGGCGGGGTGAACTAGGGGGCAAGGAGAGAGGAAGGTCAGCTAATAAGATCTGAAAAACAAAACAAAAACACCAGAAGAGGAACTCCGGTGGCACCAAGTGCTGGCTCCAGGGTGACATCCTGGCAGAGCTGAGAGGGGCTTCCGTGCACTGGGAGGTCAAGTCTCAGCTGGGGCCAGGGCAGAGAGAACCGGCCTGAGAGAGCAGGGTCACGAAGGTGCGCATAGCTGTGGGAAGTTCAAGGCTGGAGAGCAGTGCGGAGCCAAGAGGTCGGAGGCAGGAGCCTTGCTGGCCGCAGGGAGCCTGGACTGCAATTCCAAAGCGATGGGGGCCCTAGGAGGACTTCAAGGCCAAGCAGCTTCATGGGGAACGAGGGTGCAGGCCACGGGGGCCCGGGGAGGCGGACCAGCAGCCTACATCTGGAGGGAGATTTCCCAACCTCCTGCCCCAGCCCCCGTCCCAGCCCACGTCCCCCAGCGTTCTTCCACCGCGCGGCCTGCGGCTGCAAGGGGAACTCACGAGATTGCCAGGCCTTGCTGCCGACCACTTCCCCACCGGCCTTTGCTCAAACTCTGATTTCCCCAGCGCCCAGAGCAACCGGGGCTGTGACTTCCCTAGGAGGTCGGCCTTGAGCAATCAG